AGAATTGAACTTTGTTGCAAGTTCACATGGGAAATCTGCTTACGACGCGATGGGAGGAAATTTTAAGAGACTAGCAGCTAGAGCAAGTCTTCAGCTCCTAATGTTACAACAAATTCCAATACCCGAAGCCCTCTACCAATGGGATGCCTGTAAAAAATAACTGCAACTAACTTTTCAGTGGACTTTATTTCGACTATGACTATTAATTCTATTTTAAGCTAGTTTAAGAGGTTAAATAACATCAAGTTAAGCAACTTCATATCCTTATTAAACGAATCTTTAAATCAATAAATATTTTTTTCGTTTTAGTTCTTGTAATAAAAGCATATGAAAAGCAAAGCATATGCTATACATATGCTGCTTAGAAATAAAGCCTTTTCAACAGCCTTCGGATTAAAACCTCGATTGCAATAACTCATTAAACTTATAATATAATTGTATTTGAATTAATATTTAAAACAGGTGGAATCCCTCTTCAAAAACCTCAGAAAACTCTACATATTCAAGCTGAATCTGTCAAATTTAAACGCGACTTTTAAAACAGGTGATAACCCTTTTCGAAATATTTTCCTACTAAAACTCTATTAAAACCTTCATTTCTGACGTCCGTATTGTGATACACATTCCAATTATCACATTCCTTTAATTAAAGAATAATTTGATTTTTTAAAAAGGTGGAAACCTCCTACATGTAGTTGAGAATAAAACTCTCGATTGATACCCATATTGTAGTAATTAATTTAAATTAAATAATATTTTAAATGTTCAATCTGAAGGTTTCATAGCAATATTTTATTTGACACCCATATATTAATTTTTCAGATAACTTGCGAATAATTAATTTAAGTTTGGCTTTTCGAACCGGTGGCAACACTTTCCAAAATACTTTCAACTACAACTTTTTAAGCCTCTTGTCATCCATTCTTTAATATAATTTTCAAATAAATAATGCCCTTAATTCACGTCGAATTTGATTTTTAAACAGGTGGCAGCCCTCCTCCACGAGTATGGAATGGATATTATGTACATAAATACATATATGTATGTATCTATACCAAGTTCCTGCACTCTATCAAAATATTTTCTGAGATATGATATGCGGTATGAAAATTCCGTTATATGGGAGGTGCCATGCCCCCTCGTATAATCGCGATTAAATCTAGTTGGCTAAATGGCACCAGTGTACAAAATTTAGTGGGAATCGGTTGAGTAAGTGACACAAATTTCTACAGGTTGCATCGGGTGAGCAACAATTTATCGATGAGAAAACGAAAACTCGTATATTGAGACGATAAAGTGGCCGCTAATCTAAAGGTTAGATGAGAAACCGGTCCTAAATCATAAATTGAATGAAAATAACAGATTAAATCAATCAAATGATTAATCGTTGCCACCCATAGCCACACAATACTTTTCATATTAGTTTGCATAAATAAGTTTTCCTCATGTTGGTGAAAAATATATGTAGCTTTAGAATTTAGGGGAGCGAAATATTTGCAAAATTCGCAATAATTCACAAACAAAAGCCAATCCGTTAAAAATAATTAACTTGTAGTAAGCTTTTTTACGGGATTTCTATAAATACCTCACTTTTATTTAGCTATGACAAAACCAACTTAAGGATGAGTTGCAAAGTCATGCAGGAGTCATGCAGACGTAATGGTACTTTGTTTTCTTTAAACAGGTTGTTAAGTAAAGGGGATTTTTTGTAGTTCAAGAGGCAACACTAACTCTATTTGGTTGTTTTCATTTTTTCTTTTATGCTTATTCGTAAAAGAGTACAAACTATTGTAATAAACCTACAGTTAGGGTTCAATCGATACCACTAAGGTATTACTCTAATGAGTACCTGTACTCAAAGGACTGAAAGTATCGATTCCTACTCAGTATCGGCATAGTATCGAGTACTTACATGAATTGTTTTCATCTTCTCTTTCGAAAGCCAATAAAGTTGCAGGTATAGAAAACGTATATATTTAAGTTATTTAGTAAGAATACAAAATAATTATTAATTAATATTTGTGGCACATTACCAAGGAACAGTATTGGTTATAATTTTTTCAGTCACATGAGTGTATAGGTCACCCAATATGGATAAGTTTCGGATTTTTATTTTCAAATTAGGTTTATTCACTTTTTTTATAAATAATATGGCTCATTCCATAACAAAAACCTTGTTAATCCAAGTTTAAAACTTTGTACAAAAATTAAAAGCAAATCAACAAAGTTTCAGCAAAGAACGTAAATAATAAGAAGGGACTACTTGTGCCTCCTCTTTTGCGCAAGGTCACCCCTATAAGTATACAGCGCACTGCATCATTTACAAACTAGTTATGAAAAAAATTGTATTGTTTCTTTTGATACATTGCTGAGGAACAATATTAGTTATAATTACATATATGACTTCATATAAGTATATTATTTACAAAATATTTATGAAAAAAATAGCTTTTGGGGCACACTGCCAAGAAACAACAACTTTCTAAATGCTTTCCAGACAAGCGATTTCTCTACTACATGACCGCACTTTTCGCGAAAACTCTAATAACCGGCGTCATTTGTTGAGTTGCTGTTGCATGATAAAACTAGTAGAAATTACTCTTTCGATACCAAGTACTTTTTTTCGATACTTACTCGATACTGAACAAAAAGGTATCGAGTAAAAAAATACTTGGTATCAAAAGAAAAGTATCGAGTATTTACTTGTATCGATTGAAGCCTACCTATAGTAAATCAGATCATTGCAAACGATTGAAGTGAACGCATTGCATTTGTATTTCAGCGATTGGACTCGAAGCGGCCCACAACAACAACTTCCGTAACAAGGCAAATATTGAATTTGTTTGCTCCGTCACAAAAAGGCTTGTGACTTAATATTTTGGGACACTTTCGAGTTTTGTATAATTTACTATCATCGGTCGTGCCGAATTTCGAGAAAGTACGGGAAGTCCATAATCTTTCGCCGCGTGAAATCTTTGATTTAGCTGTTACTCGGCGGACTACCTGTTTGTCGATTTGCATCGCAGTCGCAGTTACGCCATTTGCTCCATCGCCTTATATAGTTTGCTGTTTTCGCTAGAGGTCACCTTGGACTCTTCGGTTAAAACATCACCGACTATGATTAAATAGTACAAGGTTCGGTAAACTGACAGTTGTCTCTCTCGCACCGCTCCCTTAGCAGTGGCACCGTGTTGCTTCTTTGCAAACTTACTTGGAAAAAGTGTAGCTTTGGTGTGAAATAGAAGTATAAGATTTGTGCAGTATGTTTATTTGTATATACATATGAAGCACATTTAACTGATTAAAACATAAACTTTTTTTAAATTGGATGTTTACATAAAACTCGCAGTCGTGTTATACTAATTTTGAGCCCTTTTGCAGTTTTTATATAGCTAAATAGCATATAAATTACGTAATTCACTTAGATATTGTAATATTACGTTCAATATTTCGTTTAAAATGCCAGATTTCCTGCAAATACATTAGAATCTACAAAAGGAATTTCCCTACTAATTGCCTACTTTGGGTCATTTTCTACTGCCATTTACGCACCAAGGGATTTCATTCTTCGTGTTTCTCTGTCCTTCGTAAATGCAACCTTTTGTAAGGGAGTGTCAAACCGCGGCTGTCAATAATTATCTAACCTTGTATTATTGAATCATGATCACCGACCTCTAACTATCATTGTTGTACATTACAACAACTTGTTTAGCTCAAAGTCATTGCAATTGGTGAAACCATGTCACTTAATAATAATAGGGCTATTCGCGATCCGGTGCAAATGGCCTAGCATCATTGCATTGCAAATTTGTATTGCAAATTATTTGCAATACACAAACAAAATACACGCATTTGCATTTGTCATGGCTTGACAAATTTGCAATACCGAAAATCCCTAGCATAAAAATGCTATGCATTGCAACTCTGGTTGACATTTCTATCAGCTGATTAAAAAAGTTTTACCATGACAGTTTAATAAAGGTCGCTCACAATCCATGGCATATTTCTGCAATTGCATAAATTTGTCAGCTCTTATGCACCGAATCGCGAATAGCCCTAATAATAATAGGTTGGCGCTTACACATATGTTAGTGTTTGGCCAAGCTTCTCCTCCGATTTGTGGCGTACGCCTTGATGTTGTCACACAAAGCGGAGGAACCCACAGTTTTACGCCGACTCCGAACGGCGATTGTATTTTTATGAGAAGCTGTTTTTCATGGCAGAAATACACTCGGAGGTTTGCCATTGCCTGCCGAAGGACGACCGCTGTTAAGATAAAACCTTTTTTCTATATTTTTTTTGCGATATTGCTTTGACCAGGGTTTGAACCCAGGTGCTGCGGAATGGAAGCGCGCACTGCTTACCACTGCACCATGTCACTTGCCGAGCATTTATCCCAACGAAATATAATTATCAAAGCGATTGAGCGAATCAAGACCGACATTGAAGCACATAGTCGAGGAGAAGGGAGAGTACTGTCCTCTATAGAATTGAAGTATCGTCTCGACGTGCTTGATAATTATTATCAGCAAGCTCTTCAGCTTCAAACCTCGGTTGAAAGGGTTGACATTGAAGATGACACACGAAGTACCATCGATTCCTTGTACATCACTATTAAAACTTCAATTTGGACTAAAACCAGCATAGATTCCGGCCTGTCACATAATTCGACATTAGCAGAAAATTCTGTGATTGTCGCTACATCAAAACTGCCCAAACTGAAACTACCATCATTTTCCGGGAAATACTCGGAATATAAACATTTTATTGTATCATTCTCGCAAATTATTGACAGAGAACAGGGTCTTAGTAATATCGAGAAATTCAACCATATGCTCAACTGCCTTAAGGGGCAAGCCCTTGAAACGGTTCAAGCATTTCCCGTGACGAACGAAAACTACTGTAAGGCACTGGAGCGACTCAAATTACGATACGATAATGACTCATTGATTTTCTTGGAAAATATTAATATGCTTTTCGATAAGCAACCACTGACTTACCCACTCTACACTTGCGTAGTATTATAGATAAAGTATCGGCGCTGTTCGGATCTTTATCTTCGCTTGGCGCCGATATAGAGATTGCTAACGCCATGCTCATTCATTTAGTGATTACCAAAATTGACGAGGAATCACGAAAAAGTGGAAAGAGTCAGCTGACCTTTCAAAACTGCCGCTTTGGTCCGATTGTTCAAAGATTTTAGAACGACGGTGTCAATATACGTATTGATAACGTTCTCCTTTTTGTGAAGTCGGTTAAAAACAAATACACCAGAGGGTCAATTCCCGTTCTGCGTTATCGTGAGTGATAAAAATAACACCGTCACACCGCATTTATTTCGGTGTTAATTTTATACTTTCCACTTCATTTCACCATAACGCAGAACGGGAAATGACCCTCTGCAAGCTTTCAGCGTGAAATGATTTCAGGGTAAATTTTCCAAAGCTCCCAATAAACTTAAAGCAAATAATGAAATCATCAAAACAATTTCAGTCCTCACATTAAAGCTAAAGGAGCATAAAGTTTGCATTGTTTTTTCTTGTTTTCGTAGACATTTTAAGAGTAGGGGTGCCGCGCAATTTTTTTAGCACAACAGGTGGCAGCGGTGCAGCGGTGAAAAAAGTTTGGGAACCCCTGGTATAGACAGTAGCCAACCTTTTTGGGTTGTTGTTGTAGTAATCGTTGTTGTTGTAGCTATATTCACCCTTGAGGAAGGCACTGGGTTGTGTGCTGCTATTTAATGACCTTCTTCAGAATTTTTCTTAGATTTCAGGGTTGGTTGCTGCATTATTATTAGATACATAAATTTAAGCATTTGAAAAATCATGATCTTATTACGAGAAAATTATAAATGGTGCAGTAATTAAACAAATGAATAAGATGAATCCAAAATATGAATGCTTAAATCTAAAAAATTATGTACAGCAATTAAAATAAACATATTAAATATATAAATACTTAAGTATCCTTCGGTCTTGTTTCTATCATCGAATCAAATAAAGGTTTGGTAAGTAAATGTTTGCATTTGGTACTAAGCAATAATAAATTAGTAAATTAGAAATTAGTAAAACAAGCCTTAAAATTTTAAGGAAATGATGAAAAAGTTATAATTTTTTCATTTAAAAAATTGTATTACTCTGGGACAGTGCAAATAGGTAGAAAAGTGCTATGGGGAAAAAAACTTTTTACTATGGTAAGAAAATTATACATTTCTGCTGTGCCAATTCGTAACTTTTTGTTGCTGAAAATTTTGGACTGTTGCTCTGGTGCAAAAGAGAGTAAGCAATTAAAATGCGGCAATTATATACAAAAATATGTCTTTACTGACTTTAACTCTTCCAGGACTGAAAGCCATGCGTTTATTAAAAAAAAAAAAACACTTCAAAACCGTCAGGCAGTGTGATTCTTGCTCGGCTCGGAAATTTTCATTCACCTCATAGTTATCAAAATTGTATCATCCCGAGTACTTTTCTGTCAATTGGCACAGGCCCTCAATAAGAATTTAAACAGGTCCGCTATTTAACAAGAATCAAGTGAGGTATAATTTCAATTGTATTATAACATATGTACATATTTTTTTCACAACAAAATCATGGTCATCACCGTACACTTATGGCATTGATTCACATTAATTCGTTCGCCAAAAGGCTGTCCCATTGACCCTCACCTCACTTCGTACACATGAACTAGCAAGAAACAGCTGCCCGAAATCTAAAGTAGTTTATTCCTTTAGTCTTAAATTCACTCAAAAAGAAATATTTCGCATACTTTTTACAAATGAGATTGCAAGTATCCAGCAGGTAAACAGCCCACCGCCAAGATGTTTAATAGGGAATTTACATGAGGCGATTTTTAGTTGAAAGCAACAATCGCCTGGTGTAAACGACCTTTCAACTAAGAAATAAGTTTTATTCCAACAGTTTAAATAGTAAATCATTTACGTATACACTTTTATGTATAATTATTCAATAAATTTTGGTTTACACTATACTTTTTGAAGGTATTTTGAGCTAATTATTTTTTGTTTCACAAAAGCAACTCTGCGCGCTTAGAAGGTGTGTGTACCAATAATTTCATCCCTGCATATTCACCCCCGAGGAAGGCAGTCGCCAAATCCACCCAAGGTTGTTTACTGGTTATATTATGATTCCGACAGACTTGGTTTTTCACATGCTACGGCACTCAAACGGTTTATAGCTCAGGAACGACGGCTTAGGCATCAGCCTGATCTGAAATTACAGTACGTGGGCTTTATGCGTTAGTATGAAAACCTTGGACATATGTCCGTAGTAAAAAATCCTAATTATAATGCACCGCATTACTACATTCCTCATAATTGTATTTTGAAGCCTTCTAGTACTACAACAAAGTTACGCGTTGTGTTCGATGCGTCTTACCAGACAACGTCGCTCAAATCATTAAACGACCTAATGTTTGTTGGTCCAACAATGCAGATCGAATTATATCTACTTTAACTACGATTTCGATTGTATCGCTATGCCGGATATAAAAAAAATGTATCGACAAGCTCTAGTCGATCCACAAGATCCACATAGTGTGGAGAAACAGCGATGAGGAGGAAACTCGTACGTACGAATTAAACACTGTCACGTATGGTACTGCCACGGTGCCGTATTTGGCCATACGTAGCCTTTATTTCATTGCCGACGAATACGCAGATGAATTTCCAGCTGGGGCCAATATGGTTAAGTTGTCATTTTATGTGGACGATCTGTTAAACGGATCCGATTCATTCGCTGAACTTAAACAAATTCAGTTCGAAGTGTCGCAAGTTTTAGGAAAGGTTGCTTCGAGCTCGCAAAGTGGCACCCGAACTGTGCTACCTTTCGTGATGATCCTACGATGAAAAATCTTAGCTTTGATGAAACAGCAGTCACAAATTGATGGCTGAGTGGAAGATCGACCTATCTCGGCAGCCGGTTCAAAAACGCCTTATCTCAGAAAACTTTTCAAAAACGCCCTACTTCAGAATTTTATTGATAAACAACCTATTTCAGAAATTTTATTTATCTCAAACGAAAATACATTGAAAATAAGCTGAGATAGGGCGTTTTTGAATCGGCAGTTGAGATAGGGCGTTATTCAACCAAATTCTGAGGTAGGGTGTTTTCCAATCAAATTCTGAAGTAGGGCGTTCTTAAAAAATTTTCGGAGATAAAACGGTGTTGAAAAATTTTCTGAGATAGGGCGTTAATTGGCTGCCGAGATAGGTCCATCTTCCACTCAGCCATCGAAATGCTCTCGGCATCACCTGGGATCAAATTAACGATACGTTCTTGTTCTCATTTCAGCCCAAAAATAAGTCTACTAAGGTAACCAAACGAATTGTGTTATCCATCGCTTCATCTTTATTCGATCCACTTGGATTATTAACGCCCATAATCGTGATCGCAAAGATTATCCTCCAGAAAATCTGGCTCCTGAAACTGAACTTGGATGAGAGTCTTCTTCAAAATTTACACGTGTCATGGTCCGACCTAGCTGCAGAACTTCGGACAGTTTCGTGCACATCCGTACCAAGATACTGCAAACTGTACAAAGCATTATCGATTGAACTTCACGGCTTCTGCGATTCGTCCATACGTGCATATGGGTGCTGTTTCTACGTGCCTGCTGCAACCAACAATGGCATCACCGTGAAGCTGCTGACAGCGAAGTCGCTGGCACCTATAAAAAAGAAGTCCTTACCACAATTGGAACTATGCGGAGCACACCTTTTAGCTAAGCTATTTGACAAGCTGAAGGAGTCGGTAGGTGAGTGCATGGTATATTTATGGTCAGATTCTCAAATAGTGTTACACTGGTTGAAAATGCACTCTGCAACGTTGTCAACATTCGTTGGAAATCGCGTCTCTGAGATTCAAGACCTAACGACGAATTGTACCTGGCGACATGTTCCAACCCGAGAGAATTCACCGGACATCATGTCTAGAGGATGTACTGTCAGTAAACTTCTAGCGTCATGCTGGTTTACAGGTCCGGCGTTTCTCTCATTGGCAGAAAGCGATTGGTCAACTTGTTCCGTAAACGAAGTCGACAATGCCGAAATTAAAAAAGAGAGGAGAAAACCCACCTTTCTCCAGACTGCAAGAGTAAACCACGTCCACGATGTGATTAAAAACTGTAGTACTTATCCGCGCATACTTCAGTCATTGCATACATATTTTGCTTCATCCAGAGAGCAAAGAAAAGTCTTAATAAATCTATAGAATCAAACTCCCTAACTATAAATGAATTACGCCATGCTCAGTACTGCGTAATATGGATCATTCAGCAGCAATTTTTCGCGGAAGAAATTCGCCTACTCACAGAAAACTTGTGTCCTCCAGGTGTGTTATGATGTCGAAGGATTTCTTTTGCTTAAAGTCGGTGGCCGTCTATCAAATGCATACATTGCGGAGGTCCAAAAGCATCTGATATTACTACCTACTAAATGTACGTTTACTCATAATTATGTTCGCTACTTACATCAGAAAAATTATCATGCTAAGGCACTAGTGGCGCTTATTCGACGTAACTTCTGGATCGTCACCGCTCGAACTCTTTGTCGACAGATCGTCAACTCATGCATACATTGCATCCGATATCGCCCTAAACTACTTCAACAAGCAATGGGCAACTTGCCGGAGGAGCGCCTTACTCCAGCTCGACCATTTACTAATGTGGAAGTCGACTTTTGTGGTCCGGTTACGGTCGCGTACGGGGCAAAGCTCAATACAAGACGTATATAACGGTGTTTGTATGCCTATCGTCAAAAGCCGTACATATTGAAGTGGTGTCTGACCTTTCTGTGGATGCCTTCATAGCTGCTCTGACACGTCTTATGGGACGACGCCCAGCCATATATTCTGCGATAACGCGACAAATTTCACTGGAGCAAACAGTAAATTACAAGAACTGAAAGATTTTCTGTTTAACTCGCAAACTCAACATAAAATTGTAAGTTTTTGCTCTCAAGAATTTATTGATTTTTCTTTTATTCCCCCCAGAGCACCGCATTTCGGCGGCCTTTGGGGGGCTGCGGTAAAGTCTGCTAAGGGACACCTCTACCGCACCTTAATGAACACACGATT